TCATTTATACAGTAGCTGCTCAGTTTTAGAAGTATGCAAACTTCTCAAAGTTGTAAACTTTTGTGATTGTGAATTCAGACTCATTGTGGAGCAATTGAAAAGTGCTCAAATTATCAATCTTCTGCAGAGTACACATACACCCCACACATAAGATTGTATTGTTTTGAAATGTTTTGTATAATGTTTAATGACATGGAAATATTAATATTTTCATGGACATTAAAGATCATTCAAAACTATGAATATTAATGATATACCATTTATTTGTTTAGTCCTCTACTGATGGGCATTGCTGCTTTTCTCATATATAATAATATGTAAAATGATAGGATAAAGCTATTTTTGTGTTTATTATTTTAGTATGGTGAATTTATATTCATATATGGGATTATTCAGTAAAAAGGATAAAAGTTCTAAGTTCCTGCTACATACTGCCAAGTTGCCTCCAGGAAAGCTGGTTACCGTTTTTGTGGTCCCAGCAAACAGTATATAAACTGTGTTGGTAAACTTATCAAATAACTTTATAAAGTCCAAACAATTCATTTTTTTTCCTTAAAGGATAATTTAATGTATTAAAAAAAAAGGAAACATTAAATAAAAGCAAAGTATAAAAAGATCATCAACCAGAAATAAATACCATTAATAGCTGGTGAACTTTATCCATTCCAACGTTTTGTTTATTTTCTCATTCACCCAATGTGGGATTAGAACTTGTGACTGAGATCCAAGAGCCACATGCTTTTCCAGCTGAGCCAGCTAGGCACCTTCCCATAGCCCCAACTATCTTTCTTAAACATAGACATACATACATAGAGTTTCAGAAAAGTGGGCTCATGTGCTGTGTACTAAATATAGCAAGTTGGGGCACCTGGGTGGCTCTGGTTCTGGTCCCCGGGGGTCTTGGGATCAAGTCCTGCAATTGGGCTCCCCACAGCGAGTCTGCTTCTCCCTCTGCCTGTGTCTCTGCCTCTCTCTGTTTCTCATGAATAAATAAAATCTAATATATATGTATATATATGTGTGTGTGTATGTGTGTATACATCATCAGATTAATTTCACTTGGATTTAACAAAAAAATGTGAGATGAAATACTCAAAAGTTTTTCTAAACTTTAGTAGAAAAAAAGATTAGTTCTAAAAGATTCCCCTTAAAATTTAGGACAATTCTAGAAAACATTAAAGAGGCTGGTTATTTCTTCCTAGTTTTCAGGTATGTTTTAGAGATCATGCATGACTCCTGTTATGAAGAAAAAAAGTTTACCAGTTCCTCTACTTCTTGGTTATATTAATTTTTTAAAGATTTTATTTATTCACAAAGAGAAGCAGAGACATAGGCAGAGGGAAAAGCAGGCTCCTCAGAGGAAGCCTGATGCAGGACTTGATCCCAGGACCCTGGGGATCATGACCTGAGCCAAAAGCAGATGCTCCAGAACTGAGCCACCCAGGTGTCCCTATATTATTTCTTATATAGACAATGTTCACATATAAGTTGAGTCCTACAATTATTTCCCATTGTTTTTATTTAGATTTTATTTGTGAGAGACAGAGATAGCAAGAGAGAGCACAAGCAAGGAAGAGAGGGAGAAGCAGGGAACCTGATGCAGAGCTAGATCCCAGGACCCTAGGATCATAAACTGATCTGAAGGCAGATATTTAACTGACTGAGCCACCCAAGCATCCCTCTCTTTATGTTTTCTTTTTTTTTGTTTTTTGTTTAATTTTTATTTATTTATGAGAGAGAGAGAGAGAGAGAGAGAGAGAGAGAGGCAGAGACACAGGCAGAGGGAGGAGCAGGCTCCATGCACCGGGAGCCCGACGTGGGACTCGATCCCGGTTCTCCAGGATCGCGCCCTGGGCCAAAGGCAGGCGCCAAACCGCTGCGCCACCCAGGGATCCCCATCTCTTTATGTTTTAAAGACAGTTTTGGCTAGGTATAAAATTCCTATCACTATTTTCTGCACACCTTTAGAGCCATAGGAGACCAGCTTCTGAAGTTTTCTCTCTCTTTTATATAAGACTTGATTTCTCTGCTTAGGTATATCCCTATAATCCTTTATATCTTAAATTCATTGGGATATTTCTTGAAGGTTTGCTTTTTATTTCAGGAAAATTTTATCTAATTTGCTCAATTCTCTTCATTAATAATGTAAATTATGCCTATGTAGGATTTCAGGTGTGTTTTTTTTTTTTTTTTTTTTTTTAAAGATTTATTTATTGGGATCCCTGGGTGGCGCAGCGGTTTGGCGCCTGCCTTTGGCCCAGGGCGCGATCCTGGAGACCCGGGATGGAGTCCCACGTCAGGCTCCCGGTGCATGGAGCCTGCTTCTCCCTCTGCCTGTGTCTCTGCGTCTCTCTCTTTCTCTCTCATAAATAAATAAAAATTTAAAAAAAAAAGATTTATTTATTTATGAGAGAGAGAGAGAGAGAGAGGCAGAGACACAGGAGTAGGGAGAAGCAGGCTCCATGCCGGGAGCCCGGTGCGGGACTCGATCCCGGGACTCCAGGATCGCGCCCTGGGCCAAAGGCAGGCGCTAAACCGCTGAGCCACCCAGGGATCCCGATTTCAGGTATTTTATTATCTTTGTAGCTTTTAAGTTTTCTATGATTTTCAGTATTTATTTCCTCCAGCCTATTTTCTCTATGCCTTGTTTATTTTATACTGTTTTCTAAAAAGGCTTTTCTCCAATTTTTCAGATCTTCATTTAAGCTCTATTAAGCTTATTTTCCATCTTAGGTGTTAGTATCATCTTTGAACTTCTTTTATACTTTGTGCATTTTTTTAAGACATCACTTTGCTATAGTCTTTGTGAATAACTTACCACTTTAACTTTCTGTAGGGAGTGACCAGCATCTGTGATCATTCTTATCTCATTAATACTTATTTAACCTTAGGTCAATCTATATGATAGAAATAATGGAAAGAGGCTAGAGGAATGAGCTTTCAGTTGGGTTATTATATTGGAAGACTTTCACCATATTTTAGGAAGTGAAATCAATTTAGTGGTTTACATCCAATATTAAAAACATACTAAAAAATACTGTATAGGAAATATATCAATTTTACATAAAAAATTTTTTCCTGACATCTGTTTTAGTTACAGAATATATGTGTACAGATGTAAAATGTTTCTTAATATAGACTAGTTAAAGTTAGAATACTATAGTTCCAAGACCTCATCCAGTAGGCTAGCACACAGATGACAGAAATGGCTCTCAGCCAAGTTTGCCTTTAGCTCCACCTCTTCTGGAATTCAGTAATATACCAAATCTTTAGAGAGATGTTCAACACATCCCACTCAAGAACTCTAAGCTCTTTGAACTAATGAGAGAATGGGAACAATCTATTTCCTGCTATAGGTTGGCTGTACTATTAATTCAGATTTCACCATATACCTAATAAGTAAGTATGCGTTTACAGTTTGTTTGGGGAGGCTTATTTCTGTTATTAAAAGTTGCATGGATTTTTTTTCGGGGAGGGGGTGTAGGGGCAGGTATTTGAATTTTTTATCTTAGACTTTAAAGTGAATATTTTAACAATAATACAGGATGATAACTTGATTGGTCCATAGGTCATTAAACCAGAGACATTTCTTTGGATCTAGATCATTTTGGTAAAGAAATAACTAACTGCTGGGACTCTATTAACAGATGTAAATAGAGGTGCTTATATTGAATCCTTAAAGGCAGTCCTATATATAGTTGTATAATGGATAACAATAGCGCTTATGGTCAACTTTTATTAGCTCAAGTATCATCAGGAGAGGAATCTCTGAAGAATGTGAAATTTCAAATATCCCAAAATGCTTTAACATTGCTGCAAAAGTTCAAGTCAACAGCAATCAAAAGAATGTTTATTTTATGACCAGATAAAGCTTCCCAGGAAACTGGATCCTGTGAGGCAGTTGGTCTTCATAATTCTGGCTGGGTCCAGAGCTGCAGGAAGTCAAAATTGTTCCCTCTCCCCACTCCTTTTTTTTCACTTTTCCCTTTTTAAAGGAGGAAAGGTAAGTACTGGTAGACTGAACTCTTCTAGCAAAGATCCCAATACCCCCCCGCCCCCCTTGTCAACGCCTGTGGACACCTTGCGGTTCTTATTTTGCTTCTGAATCCTCAGACTTAGCTTCTTTAACATACTGTCTCCTAATTCTCCTACCTTTCTTGAATGGCTCCTTTCCATTTTCAGTTGGTTGATTGCACTGCTTCCTTTCACCAGTGTTGAGTGTTGCCAATGATTCTGTTGTTCTGTTGTTGGCTTTTCTTACATAAACACACACCTCATGGGCAATCAATTCCATTTAATTCTACTTATTTCACAGTTACCTAAATGTTGTCAATTCAGGGTTAGATCTCTTGGCTCAACTCCAGTTCCTATTTATATTACAGCAGTCTCTAATTACACTTTAGGATAAACTGAATGCATCATTTTTTCCTACCAACACAACTTTCACCATATGCCCCTCTAAAGCCTGGCCTCTCCCTGTTCTATTTTCTAGCCTTGTGAATGAATGGCACTGTTTTCCAGCAATACAGGTCAAAACCCTGAGTTATTAGATAATTTCTTCTTTTCAGTCTTGGTACCCTACAGCTACTGACTATACTTGGATAAATGTCAGTGCTTACAAGATAAAGGCTGAGCACCATAACTTAGAATCCAAGGCTCTTGGGGAAGAAGAACATATATTATATTATGTTGTATAAAAGGTATTTAAGTTTCATTGTTGAACTGTTCAACGTAACTGGTCCAGAGAAGCCTTAGCTTATGATCCAATGATCCAGAGAAGCCTTACTTTTGAATGCATTTTCTTCTTAAAAAGCTGCTGCTAACTCGTCAGTTTTCCTACTACTATTCCTACATGGTCCTGGGGGGGGGGGGGGGAGAAGCTGGAGGTTATAGGTTTTACTGACTTGATTTTTTGAGTTTACTATCAGCAGCAATAAATCTCAGAATTCTCAGAACAGTTCCCATAATGGAGCAAAACAAAACTAAACTACAGAAAAATGGAAAATGGGTGTGTAAAATTTAATAACAAAAAGGTCAACAGGCAGCCACATCCTGTCCTTGTCACTCATCCTCTCCACCCCTCAAATCCTTTCTACCCTTGTAAATTTGAGTACAGTCAAGATTGGTTGCACGAAGGGGTCAAAAGCAGCCCTTGGGAAGCACTATTCCTCAAATGGATTACAATTCAAAGAGAGATACAAAACTCAGCACCTCTTTCACTTAAGTAAAAAAAAAAAAAAGAAATTGGTTAAAAAGAGCTAAAATATTCTCTTAGCTGCCTGGGGAGTAAGATCTTAATCCTTCCACAAAGACAGATGCCTTTAAATCCACAGGTGGCCATCTGATCTAATACCAAACTGAGTCCATTATTCATTCCCTCTCCGGCTCTTCTTGTGGCTTTTCTTAGATCTGAAATGGTAACACATATGAACCATAATAAATTTAACAGCTGTTTAAGAAGGTAGGCAAGAACTTTTGAGGAAGATATATGTATGTTGATACTGATGAGGACAGAAATGACATCTAGTATTCATTAAATGTGCTTAGTGTTATGTCTAAGAGCAACACTGAGGCAGGTATTACTATCTTAAAGTTTATCAAATGAAAGTGATCTGTCCAATGTCACTCAACTGTTAATTGTTAACAAAGTTGGGACTTAACCACAGGTCTCCTGAGACCAAAGCTCATGGCCCACTCTCCAAAGCTGCAATCCTACATGGAAAAAACAAAATAACACAAAACAAATACATAATCCTAGTAATTCTCAGGGCAATAGGCCAATTTTGTCCTGGAATAAAGTTCCTAAATATTCCCATCAAAACAAAATTTCAGGTCTGACTTAGTTGTGTGATTGGAAGTTTGAGTAAAAAAAAATTCTTAAAATAAGTCAATCCATACCTTTCAGGAGACTTTGAGTGACTCCTGTGTCTGTGACTACGATGATGACCTGGGGAAGAAAAGGCCACTAGATAAGTGATACTCTACCCACCTACTCTTACACTGTCATTTTCACTTCTCCCAATCCCTTTCACCAGCGTAATATTTTTTTCTGGCTTATGCTAGACACCCATCTTGATAGCACCTGTCAGGACTGTTTGTTTATGGGGGTGCTTGTTTACGGTGGAGTGCCAGAAGAACTGAATCCATTTCATATGCATTTGAGGGTTATGGTTAATTTCACAAACATCACATAGGTCTTAATTCCTATAATTTCAGATGAAAAAAGTGAAGTTCATCATTCTTTCAGTAAAGCTTTTATGAGAAAGTAAAGATGTGAATTCTTAATTTTCAGATTTTCATTTCCTTTTCTTTTAAGCAATCATATAGCTAGGCACTCCTGTCCTGGAGAAGGTTAAGCATCTATTACATTTAAGATAACCAATAGCAAAGGTCCCAAATATTATACCTGGGGACTTGGAGCGGGATCTGTGCCGTCTATCTCGAGATCTGCTGCGGTGACGTCTTGGGCTTTTGCTCCGATGCCTTTCTCGGCGAGGGGAGGGGCTGTGGAAATGATTGGTTAGACTCCTTTTTCTGACATTTATACTCACATTACACCCCTCCACCCCCAAAAGCTGTATCCTTCATTACAAGTCAACTGAAGGCCTACCTCCTCCTTTTAGGAGACCGACTCCGCCTACACAGAAAGAAAAGAGGAAGAACCTTAGTTAGGCGCACTGCTCAAACATTCACCCACTTCTTATCCATGACCTTTGTTACATAACTTTTATTAGAATCCTCCCACTCTAAGTCTGGGATTGCCATGTGACCTGCTTTGGCCAGTGGGGTATCTGCAGATGTGATACCAACAGATACTGGAAGGAAACTTGCATGATTGAGCTTGTCTGCTCTTGAATTCTGTCACAGTTGAGGGGACATGCCTAACTTAGTCTAGAATGAGACACACACAGAGGAGTTGCCCCAGGTATCCTCGTTAAAAGCCAATAGACAGCTGACCACAAAACAGGTACGTGAACTTAACACTGCCTATCCAAGCCCAGCTTAAATCACTGATGCAGACTTGTGAACTAAATAAATGGTTATTATCTACCACGGAGATTTTGCAGGTGGTGGTTTTACAGCAATTCCTATACTGGGCAAACATTCCCCACAACCTGAATTTTTTCCTTCCCTGAAATCCAAACTTCTGTATTAATTACCAGGCTTAAAGTTTCCCTGGAAGAGGCCAAGGATTAGGGCTTTACCTTCTGGGAGACCGGCTCCTACTCCTTCTATAGCGCAGTGTGGGAGAACGACGGGGCTTGTCCAAGTCTCGGTAGCTTCTCCGGCGATGATCAGGTGATGGCACTCTCTCCAACTGGGAAAGAAATGGATAGGTCAACGCTGAGTACAGACTTAACACAGAACTATTTAGGGGTAGTACATACACTCCCCTCCTCAACCTGTCCCAAATTCTACCTTCAAGTAAATTTAAAACACAATAATACATAGATAACCCTAAGGACAAAAAGAACTACCAAATAAAAAAACTGTTTCCAATAATCCTACTACTCCAGTGTTGGTACCACTATTCTGGTACTGTGAGAATTGTGAGAGCTAAGTAATTATGTGTATCTCCTTAAAAGGTTGGATTTCCAATGTGAAAAGAGAGGTGTAAGATCAGTAAAATTAAGTACAAAGTGTACTTTACTCTTTCCTCTAGGTTTCAATTTTTCCTCTAGGTTTGCCAACTGTAAAGACCTAGAAACACCAACCAAACATAGCATTGAGCATTTATAGTGCCCAGAGTGTGGTATCTAAATACCATTTTCCCTGTAAATGAAACCAATGGCTCCCTGGAAAAATGGCAATTTCAGATTGGGGCCAGAAGCTTATAAACCATGACTAGAATGTATCGTCAGAAGGCAAGGAGTCTGAGACTACCATGGTTGTTGTCAGTCTCATGAGTCAAGTGTGTGTGGGGGGAGGGGGGGGCGGCGGCGGCGGAGCGATCCTTTGGCCAAAGGGGACAATTTCATCATCAACAAGGACCTGGTTCAAAACACCTCCGATTAGCTTAAATATGAGTTTATGTTACCAAGGACAAAACCACATTCATCACATTGGGAGGATATTACGGACTCAACTCATTATTTTAAAAACTGATAAGTAACCCAGTATTTCTCTTTTCTATATCAACTGTACCTAAGAAAAACTAAGTATTGACTTGGGAGATTTTACAGCAGTGTTATAGGTAACATGATGAAAAAGCAAAGAATTAGAACATCATGATTTTATAACCCCTAATGGGTCTAGGCAGAGATAATTTAGGCACAGTGGTTCCTAATAAGGCAGAGAAACAGACTTTGCTTACCCTACGAAGAGTACACACGAGTACCTATGAAGTAGTGTTGCTTTACTGCAAAGGGTACAAAAACCTCAAATAGTGTTGCTTTACTGCAAAGGGTACAAAACCCTCAAATCCAATTGAGCCTCCAGATCTAAGAGTTTACAGAAGATACAAGGGACAAACAAACATGTTAAGTGACCCCACAGGGACATAATCAGAAAAATACAGATTGTAAAAATCTGTATAGAATAATATGACTTGATTTATGGACCTTCTCTGAATACTAATTCAAACTATTAAATATAGGACAATTGGGGAAATGTGAATACTGAATATTTTATTTTCTTGTTTCAAGTTTTATTTAAATTCTGGTTAACATAAAATATGTTAGTTTCAATACCGAATATTTGACATTAAGAAATTACTGATGATTTGGGGGTGATAATAGTTATCATGGTTAGGCTTTTTCTGAGATATGGATGAGATATACTGATGATTGTGATCTATGTCAAGAAAACTGGTGTGGGGACAATTTGGAAGACATTAGAAAAAAAATGGCTTGAGTTGATACTATGGCGGCTAGGTGACAGGTAAATGGAGGCACATTCTCTCCACTTTGTGACTGAAATTTTCCATTAAAAAGAAAAACAGAATGACTACTTTTGGTTCACTCACCACAAAAAAGCACCTCAGCCTTTAAATTCATGAACGAATGTTTCCTTTTGCACTCCTTAAAGGGAGCCTACTGGCTCAGAGCTACACTTCCATTTACACTCAGTATCCACCGTTTCTTTTATTCCTCCCCTACCCTTTTTGGATACATAGAGTATTATATTTTAAACATGGATGTTTCAGATCCTTCTTTCCTAACCATAAGCATTTCCACATCATATACTTTTCATAAGTTTTAATGGCTAAAAGCTGTTGAGCTGCTAATAGTTAACCTGTCTGCTTCCTGATAGCTGCTGGGCTGTTTTCAACTTGTCAACATTTTAACTAGTAAAAAACATGACCATGCAGTAGGTATTATTTTTTTCCTTAAGCTAGCTTAATCCTTAGGATAGGTTCAACTATGAACAGTATTATTATTTTAAGTATTTATATTAATAGCTACCAACTGTGAGTCACTTATAATGTCCCAATATGCAATGGGCTTTATGTATATCACCTCATTTAATGCTCATAATAATCCTAATAGAAAGGTATCATTCTTCTTTACTAAGGGAAAGATTAATTTACACAAGATTATGGAGAACTGAGATATGAATCAAAGCTTTATTTAACTTCAATGCCCATACTCTTAAATGATAAATATTGTATTTTTTGGTTAAAGTTAAAAATTAAAGTCGGAAAACAAAACAAGGAAGGACCATTCCCCTCATCCCCTCCCCATAATTATCCCTCCTGAACCCTTAAGCTCCCAGGTGCCTGACCTTCTCATCCTCCTCTTCCTCCTCTTCACTGGACTCCACATCATCCATGTCCTCTTCTAGAGCACTAACCCGAGGCTCCAGTTGCTCAGCTTCCTCTAGCACATAGCGTTTCTACAGAAAGCATAATGAGAGTCAGGGGGCTTTGTTGTCTCCTGTATGTCCTGAACCCCTGACACTGGGGCTCTGGGATAGATGGGAAACTGGTGATCAACAGCTGAGGCAATTTCATTTCAGATATTCCAGACAGTTCAAAATTTTCTTAAGGAATTTAACATACTTGGAATCTATACTTTTTACATCCCCCTATAATTACATAAATACAAAGTTGAAGGGAACTTCATTTTCTGTTGGCTCTATTCTCTGTGATCTTTTACACTTAAAAGTCACTGAAATATCTATCAATATAGATGTAGCCCTGAAAAAAAAAAAAAGGAGCTTCATATACAAGGGCCAATATAAGTTCAGAGCTGTGACTGGTGGCTGGTAGTTCCAAGACAGGGTCAAAGCAAAATCTACCCTAAGAGACCCAGTGAGGCCCAGCCCAGTTTGGGGGCTGAAGATTGTCTTGGTCCTGGTTTGGAATAGCATCAACTTTACTTGACCTGGGATTTAGGAAACAGTTTAGTAGAGTCACACATTTTGAACAAACTATAGGATATACACGATCCATCTTCTGGTTCCATTTTCTTCTGAGATGTGGCTTAGCTGGCTTATTGTGTGATTAAGGACCCGAAAGGCAAGGATGAGTTCAAAAATGCCAAATGGGACTGCCTGAGTCATACGATCCCTTACAATTTTCTTGTGCCCAGGATATAAAGAATGTTGGATAGTCCTAAAATAATAACATTTAGCTTATCTCTAACAAAATTCTATAATGGTTGGCAGAAGTGAAACAAAGATACCACTCTGTGTAGTCAGTCCTCATTAAAGAGCTCCTTGGAAAAAGGCTCTTCAGTTACACAATCACCATAGTTTGGGATCTAGGACAGTATCAGACAGGGCATCCCAACTCCCTAATGCTCAGACTAAAATCAATATATTAATTCACAGTATTGATGTTTGATGAAATTAGAATTTATTCCAGAGCAGATTCTTGGAATGTCAGGACAGGACACATCAGAAGCTAAATTGATGAGGTGCTTAATAAGAACAGAATCAGAGCAGAAGGTGTTCTTAAGGGTCACTTCCAGGACACACCCACACCAGACCACACTTCTTGGTGATAAAATGTACACCAGTCAGATTTCAGTTTCTCTCTCAGTGAGGCATGTTTTGCGGTCTTCTAGACTCTATTCAGACCATCTTATCTGCATCAATTGGCTTGCTTTAAAGCTGAATGGGTTTTCGAACCCCTATAATTGTACTTCAAAATAATCCATTTCTTATAGTATTTCTAAAAATGAGAGCAGCTAATAATGACATAACCACAATGTTGACATAACCACAATGAAGTGTGAGAACTGGGCCCTGAAAGCAGATTTTCAGTTTTGAAATCTCTTCCCTACACAGTTTACAGTAGCCAATACAGACTAAAACAGGTATAGCATACATATTTTTAGGATTTTTATAGAGTCCTATAACTGGATCGCTGTGGAGGAAGAGTTGGTACATTGCATTTAAATGTGAGTACTCATCTACCAACTACTTTTTATCCAGCTGATTTGCTGCCTCATCTGACCCATTTATCAGGTATCTGCAATTCATTCTATTTCCTACTTTGAAGTAACTATCGTGAAACATATATTACCATGCTGAGTAATAAGGAAAAAAACAGCACATACAAGTAGGTTCACTATTCTTGACTGTAAAGAGTTTCAAGGGTGTACACACAAATGGCAAAATTACCAAACTGCACACTTTAAATACATGTAGTTTAATGTACATCAATTATACATTAATAAAGCCATTTAAAAGAAAAAAAAAAGCCTTTGTTCAAATGAAATCTCATTTTCAAGCCCAATATGTGCCTTAGAGAAAAAAAGAGCTACTCTGGTTGGAATATGTGGGCTGTCTCCTCTTATTCCTCTCTGTAGCTTTAAACAGTCCCACAGGGTAGTTTATTTATTTTTTTTTTAATTTTTATTTATTTATAGTCACATAGAATGAGAGAGAGAGAGGCAGAGACACAGGCAGAGGGAGAAGCAGGCTCCATGCACCGGGAGCCCGACGTGGGATTCGATCCCGGGTCTCCAGGATCGCGCCCTGGGCTAAAGGCAGGCGCTAAACCTCTGCGCCACCCAGGGATCCCCCACAGGGTAGTTTAAAGACCAGTGAAGTAGTCTAAGTCCCCCATTTCATAAATGGGAAAATAAAACCAGGTTCCACAGCTAGTCAGCTATAACAACAATCCAGAAATTTAATCTATTTCCCTGCTCAGTCATCTCTCCATTATAGATCATTCCTTTTCTCTTTAGGCAACCTACTGTTTTCCCTTTGTATTTAACAGTAGTTTTAAATAATACTCTGCAAAATCCATTCCTGAAAAGTGCTTCATGGATAATCATTTATCACCAGAAAGTGGAGCAGGGTTATAAAGTTTGATATTTAAGAGATTAAGATCTTAGTCTACCACTCCTGACCCTCCTTTTATCTGTTTTACAGCCTACAATTTTTCATATAACATTTTAAAAAGTCATTTCCTGTGTTGCCTTTTTTAAAAAAAAATATTTGTTTATTCATGAGAGACATACATATAGAGAGGCAGAGACACAGGCAGAGGGAGAAGCAGGCTCCATGCGGGGAGCCCGATGTGGAACTCAATTCCAGGACCCTGGGATCACACCCTGAGGCCATCACACACTCAACCACTGAGCCACAAAGGCGCCCTTTATTACTCCCTTTTAAAGCCCCACTCTTCAAATACTTTACTTCTGTTTTTCTCTCCCAATCCCCTTTTTCATAGGTATGAAGACTAGTTAAAAGGACCCCTGAGATCATGGGCTTCAGTGTTCTATTGTGTATGTGTACTCCTCTGTCCCTGTCTTGGGGAAAGAAGGGCAACTCTGATAAGAGACCTTTATCTCTTACCTGTAGCCGGGGTAGAATGATATCACAGACTCTCTCACTGTGCAGCAGTTCATCAATGAACTCATCTACGTGCATCAGCTCAAACTCTGAAAGAACAGTCATATGCTCAGGCAACTTGGAAATAAATTTATATAGTCAAAAAATAAAAGTGCAAGACTCTATTATAAAATACTTGGTTTAGAAAGTGTGAATCCTCTGCAGCCTCCCTTCCCTACACATTTACTAATAAAACCACTCAGTGTGGTTACAGAGAAGGGATTACTGAACAGACCTGGGGTCAAACTACAGTCATTCATAGCCTTTTCATCACTTACCTCATTCATTCAGCTCACCTTTACTGAGGCCATCTGTATCAGGCCTCTTCTTGGAGCTGAGGATAAAGGGATGAATGAAGCTGTCCCAATTAGCAGGAGACACAACACAAAAGCATGCACAAACAGATCTAAGTTGTATAGGGGTGATTTTTTTTTAAAGATTTTATTTAAGAGAGTGAGAGAGTACAGCAGGGGGGAGAGGTAGAGGGACAAGCAAATTCCCCACTGAGCAGGGAGCCCGATGTAGGACTCAATTACAGAATCCTGGGATCATGACCAGAGCCAAAAGCAGATGTTTAATTGACTGAGCCACCCAAGTGCCCAGGAGTGATGTTATTTGTAAAAAAGTTTATTATTTTATTATTTATTTTTTTTTTTGAGAGAGAAAGAGAGACAGGGAGAGCAAGAGCAGGGAGGAGAGGGAGGAGCAGGCTCCCATGGAGCAGGGAACCTGACACGGGGCTTACTCCCAGGACCCCTGGGATCACGACCTGAGCTGAAGGCAGACGCTTAACCAACCAAGCCACCCACGGTGATGTTCTTGAATAGATTATACAATTTCTCAAGTACAATTTTTCAAGTACAATTTCTCATGTGAACCCACTATATTTTTAAATATACAGCATGTATCTTATATGGTAAAGCAAAAACTTTTTAGAATTGTTATAGTAAACATTACCTTAGTTCAGTGGTTCTCAAGCAGCAGTTAACTTTGTCACCCACAACTAGTGGATAGAGGCCAGGGATATGGCTAAACATCCTACAATGGGCTGGACAGCTCCCCATAACAAAGAATCATCTGGATCAAATTGTCAATAGGTTGAGTAACCCCATCTTAGTTTTTAACATAATATAAACATAAGTAATTCCATGATGGCCATAACCATGTCCATCTTGTTCACCATGTTATTTCCAGTATGTAGCACAGTACCTGACATGATACTGGCACTTAATTATGTATTCAAAAAACAAGGTAATAAGTTAATAAAAGTTTAAAGTAAAAGAACAAATTCTTGGCTTTCTATTAATGTTACATGTAGAGGTAAAAAGCAAATTCTAGTTAGACACTAAGAAGAAAAAGGTTTTGACTGCATTACCCTGAATCTGCCTTTTCCACAAAAAATATCTTTGTAAAATGTATGGAGCTGCCCACTGTGGGATTCCTATGTAAGTCTGAGTACACATAACCTATACTGCAGTGGGAAGTACGGTGCTAGAGAAGAAGGAACGCCTGGGTGGCTCAGCGGTTGGGCATCTGCTTTTGGCTCAGGGCATGGTCCTGGAGTCCCGGGATCCAGTCCTGCATCGGGCTCCCTGCATGGAGCCTGCTTCTCCCTCTGTTTCTGCCTCTCTCTGTCTCTCATGAATCAATGAATAAAATCTTGGGGGGGGGGAGAGGCCACTAAAAATTACTGTGATGATGGGGCACCGGGGTGGCTCAGTTAAGTGTGTGCCTTTGGCTCAGGTCATGATCCCAAAGTCCTGGGACTGAGCCCTACGTTGGGCTCAATGTTCAGCGAGAAATCTGCTTCTCCCTCTCCTCCTCCATCCTGCTCCTGTTCTCTCTCTCTCAAATAAGTAAATCTTTAAAAAAAAAAAGGGCAGCCCAGGTGGCTCAGTGGTTTAGCACTGCCATCAGCCCGGGGCGTGATCCTGGAGACCCGGATCGAGTCCCATGTCGGGTTCCCTGCTTGGAGCTTACTTCTCCATCTGCCTGTGTCTCTGCCCCTCTCTCTCTGTGTCTCTCATGAATAAATAAATAAATAGAATATTAAAAAAATAATAATAACCGTGATGATGTAACACATTGAAAACTAACTTTGGGAGGTCTGAGGAAGGCTTTTACGAGGTCATTCTGGAGGCAGATCAGATGGGATGGAGTACACTAGAAAAAGTACATGATGCAAGGCTGAGACTGATATAAGATGTAGTTGGAAAAGTAGGCAGACAAGGGCAGATTGGGCAAGACTAACAGGAAGCTAGGAGTCTAATGGAATACTCCATGCAGGAGGTGAAGAACCTGAAGTGAAGACCGTAACAACAACGATGATGGGCATTCACAATGTTACAACAAGAAGGCAGAAATATGGGGATCCCTGGGTGGCTCAGCGGCTGAGCACCTGCCTTCGGCCCAGGGCGTGATCCTGGAGTGCCAGGATCGAGTCCCAGGATCAAGTCCCGGGATCGAGTCCCACATCAGGCTCCCTGCATGGAGCCTGCTTCTCCCTCTGCCGGTGTCTCTGCCTCTCTCTCTATCTCTCTCTGTCTCTCATGAATAAATAAATAAAATCTTAAAAAAAAAAAAAAAAGGCAGAAATATTGGTGAAATAAAAACTGGTTCAGGGAGGAAGGTCCAGACCCTTAGCACTATACTCACCCCCATTTCGGTTCTGGCTCTTGATTTTTCGATAGTCGTTGTACAGAGGCTCTAAATACTTGTAGCAATCAATTGCAGTGCCTGTCAGCCTCATGTAAAGTGCTCCCAACATGCGGACATACCTGACAGAAGAAGACAAACAGTAGGCCATCCTAAAAAGTTCTTGCTCTTGAGTTGCATACCTAGCTTTTCTCACGAAAGCAGTGGATGAACAAGTTCTTTCTCTTCTTTGGCGATGAGAGAACTGCAATTTTGAGGCAACATGGAGCAGAAAGAGAGCTAAAATATGGAAACCTGGGTTCAAGTTCCCATTCTACCACTTACTGGCTGCAGGAACTTGGGACGTGTTGCTCAGCTTTCAGAGTCTATTATATTTAGAGTCTATTTAGAGTCTATTTATGACAGGAAAATAGGAACCAATTTACCTTAAAGGATTACTCTAAGAATCAAATGAGATACTGAATTTAACAACAACATATAAAATATGTTTACTAATAGTACAAGAAATAATATACATACACGTGAATATATAAATTGTTGCTAGGCAGCACAGAGTGCTAGTTCTGGAAAAAAGTCATCTGGGTTGCAATTTGGATTCCATTACTTCTTTTTTTTTTTTTTTTGAATTCCATTACTTATTGACTTCGTTATATTAGGCAAGTTACTTGCTTTCTCAATTCTTGTAAAATGGAGATGATTGTGCCTAATTTGTTGGCTTAGTGAGAAATGTGTGTAAAGTGCTAAGCGTAGCATACAGCACATAGTAAGAAAGCTATTTTCTAGCTGTTATTGTTTTGTAAGATTCCTTTTTCTTTTCTCCTATATCCAACTACCCACTCAAATTCTTCACTTGGAATAACTAGTAGGCATTTGAAACTCAACAGTTTCTTTATATGACAAACACAACAGAATAGTAAAGAACACTGAAGCCAGCTTTACCACTTACTCGGTATCTGACCTCAAGGAAATTAATCTGTGCCTAAGTTTCCTACCTTGTGTAACGGAGATAATAATTTTGCAGGGTTGTTGTGAAGGTTAAGTAAATGATTATATGTTAATCCCTTAGAGGATGGTACAAAATTAGCTACTATGTTTGTCTCTTATATTTGTCTGTGAGCTCCTTGAGAATAAGTAATACAAGAATATGAGCAGCTGACATTTTGGGAGTCTTTACCAAAAGGCACTGTGTCGTGAGATATACAGCACTATATTCTTTAACCCTCCTATCAACCTTGAGCTGGTATCATCATCTCCATTTACAAGTAAAGAAAGTAGAGCTCACAAACTTCTCTAAGGTCACAATAAGTAACAGAGCCTGGACATGAACCTCCCTCCACCTACACCAAAGTTTTCCTGCTTATCTACCACATGATGTAGTTTTCTTCATCTTTGAGCATCCAGTGCTATGAACACACTAAGCGCTCACTCCTGCTTAATATATTTTTCAGTGAAATGCTTTCTGGGGGAGAGGAGCAGTTACCAGGACTGAGAATGTAAAGAAGATCAATACAATCAGAACAGACAAAATACACACTGGAGAGCTCAGGAGCCAAAATCCTAGAGTAGAACTCTGTAGAAACAAGATACACTGCTTTCACTCCTCTTAACCGAAGCCAAATTCTGGACCACTGAAATTGGAAGCTTTTAAATTAGCTAGTCAACATTTCACTCACTTGAAATCTTCATTTTTGATAAACTCCACAATGATATCCTTCTCAGGCTGGATTTGAAGCATCTTCAGGGTCAAACACAGAAAAGGAGTTGGCTTTATGTTGCCACCATAGACACCGCCCACAAACCTCAACTCCATGGCTTTATCCACTACAAGTTCAGCTAAAAAAAAAAAAAAAAGGCAAAAACAAAAACAAAGTGGCATCTCAGATAATTTAGGGCCAAGCTTTTCCCAGTCTGAAATGGAGATAAGTTAGTTCAAGGTTTGGTGCTCCTCAATACTAATCAACAATTTAATATTAGAAGTGTGTGTATTAATAGTAATAATAATAATAACAACAGCCAATATACAAGAAAGGATGACTATATGCCACGTATTCTCCTAAGCATGTCATATTATCTCATTTAATCTTCACAACAAGCCATGAAATTCCTGCACAGAGGCTGTTTTCAGATAAGGAAAATGAAGGCTAAGAAATGTTAAGTGACTTGCTCAATGTCCACCACCGGAGAATAGCAGGGCCTGGATTTACATGTAAGCAGTCTATCTCCAGTGTCCATGTCTATCACCATTATGTCTGGAGAAAAGCAGCCAAATCTGGAGCTAAAAGAAACAGCAACAGTATACGACCCAATAACTACATAACTTTAAGTAAATGTCATCTACAGAACAGGGATAATAACCTTCCACAAGGGATGCCTAGGTGGCTCAGTCAGTTAAGCATCTGCCATCAGCTCAGGTCATGATCTCAGGGTGCTGGGACTGAGTCCCATGTCAGTCTCCCTGCTGAGCGGGAGTCGGCTTCTCCCTCTCTTTCTGCCCCTCTCCCTACTTGTGCTCTCTGGGTCTCTCTCTTTCAAATATAGTCTTAAAAAAAAAAAAAAGCAACCTTCCACAATTGTTTTCAAAAGTAAACACTAGCTGTATGAACTCTAGGGCAAGTCTTTTTACCTTACTTTTTTTCTTTTTGACTGTCAGTTCAAATCTGAACAGTAAAGGTACAAAGTTTAAGGGCTATAGTGAGTGTTAAATGAGACAGTACAAATAAATGTTAACATCTACATGATACACAGCAAATAATGTATGAGAGATTCCATTAGTGGAAAATCATTTTATAAATCAGATTTCAAGTTCCTTTAGGATAAATTCCTATTAATTCATTCAACATTACAGTTGACAACTTACAGCCAGGTACTAAATACTAGAGATATAGGTAGAATGATAAAGAAGAACAAAATTACTACTCTTACAGAGTTTACAGTCTGGCAAGGCAGAAAGCATTGGAAAAATAATTGAAATGCGACAAATAGTTAAAATAAGATGCAGAATGCAATACAATTATACAACAAGGGAACATAATCTAGCATTGGAGGAAAAAGGTCACACGTTCACTTTTGGACATACTGAGTTGGCCTGATTATTAATTAGAGATTGAGATCTCAGAGGGCGATCTGGGCTGAAGAGAGAAATTTGAAGGCATCTACAGGTAAGATCATACAAGGAGAGAACCTGCAGTGAGAAAAGGCCTCAAAATTCACCCAAAATTTACATAACTCCAAAATTTAACGGTGACTCAGAAAAACGCTGTGACACGTCCAGGGACACACAGCGGTCGTGGCAGCGACAGTGATGGCACAGAGTAGTGCTGGGTGCTTCTTAAAATACACACCAGTAACCATACCAAATACTCCTTATACATGACGCGTTTTACTCCTTAGAATCGTTGAGGTGGGCAAGATACCCGTTCTACAGCAGAAGAAGACATACATCGTTCACCGGCAAAGCAGAGCTACTAAAATCAGGAGCCAGAATTCGAAGACTGCAAGGCTTGGAAGCCTTCTCGGAAGAACTAAGGTTTCTATTAGGACCCGAACGTGGAAATAACTGCACATCGTGCAGATTTAGAGAACGAAAGACCAGGAACTGGGCTTCAGGTATGTTAACGTTCCTTTAAGGACTTCAGAGTCTCCGAGTTTAAGAGGGTTTGAGAACTCGGGAGATTATCGTTAAAGATGAACAGACGCAGAGAACCCAACAGACACCCTCAGAATCAGGCCGCAGCAGACTCACACGTGTCCCCAAAGCCCAACCAACATCGATCCAGGCACACAGCAGGTGCTAGATTTTTCTGAGTGACTGACAGACTCCGCTCCAGTCTCCCGCCGGGGCCGGTGCCCCGCGCCCCGTCCGCGGAGCGGGGCCACCAGGGTGGAGGAGGGTCCGCGCGCGCCCGCTCACCCGTCAGCCCGAAGCACTCCTCTTTCCAGTACTTGGACTCGTAGATTCGCGTCCGAATGATCTTCTCCACCAGATACTGAGGATTGGTGCCGTGGATGCTGTGCGCATCCTTCACCGTACGGTTCGCCATCTTAGGACGCCTTCAGTTCTACTTCCGTCGGGTCCTTTAACGCGTCACATCCAGGTTAAGGCGAACCGGAGAGAGACGAAGAAGGGCGGAGGGAGCCTAAGTAGCTCAGACCACCATCTGGAAGCGGAAATGCTTCGAAGGAAAGAACTTCCTTCCGCCAGCAGCGTCGCCCACCGAATCAATGATGGCCGCGGCACGTTGGCGGACGTTCGGCGCGCGCCTCGCGTAGGTGGGCGGGGCTAGAGGGCTGGCTGGTGACGCAACGTGGGGACAGCCTGGGGGCGGGGCCACGGCTTTTGGCGCGAAATTTTCTTTTCTCCACCTTGCCTAGCGAGGTTCATTTTCAACCTGCTTGGGCTCCGGTGCGGCGGGTGGCTGTGAGAGCAGTCCAGCTGGGGCAGGCTGGAGTCGCTGCGGCCCGACGAACTCCCGGAACGGAGACGGTGGGAGCAGAGGGCTTCGGCGCCCGGTGAGTGGCAGTCCCGGGCGGGACGGGGGTCGGAGCCGCGGAGACTGGAGAAGTTCTTCTCTGGGGACTCCGTCATTGATTCATCCAGCGGATATCCACTGCGCGCTGCTGACTGCCAGGCTCTGTCCCAAGGCCATTAGGAGCATTCTTTTCCACATCCCGATTTACAAAGGGCTTCCCACTCACTCCCCCAGGGCCTGAGAGTGCAGTTGAGGCACCGGAAGCCAACTTTAGAGACGCGTGAGCGTTCCGGTCCTCAGCGGCCTGAGGTTCTCAGAAGTGGTCTTAACTGGGCCGCCTGTCTGCTTTGCCCTTGTGGAGCCTTTGCGTCTTTCCCACCTTTGAGCCACCGCGAACCAAGCGCCGCAGGGAAGGCGGGACAGAAGTTACTGCCCCATTTTACGGATGTAGCAGTTGAGCCCAGAGACTTCTCTAGGTCGCTTTTTGTAAGAGGCCTGCGCTCCTGCCCAAGGCCCCCCCCTCCCCCCCCGCGGAGCCGCTCCTAATTGCCGGCCTCTAATGCACCTTCTTTCTAGGAAAGAAGTCCAACTTTACTTCTACTTTAGTCTAGCCCGGAATAGAGGCGCCTTCTGTTTTCACAGTTGGAAAAGCACTAGACTTCGAGGCATGAGATGTGAGTTTCTCATCCTGGGCTACTGTCTGCGAAACTGAAGTGATTAGGTATGTCAGTTTTCGATTTTAGTTGTTTGTAAAAATAGTACCCTCGTGGCGGCTGTTAGGAGTACCTGTGAAGGCCCGCCGAGGTTTCCACAGTGAGAGCAAGGTGTACCAGGTCTTTTTGCAATACTTTTTAACATAACAGAGGTCAATATGTGGATGTTAGAAGGTTTATGAATTCCCTGAAAGTAAATGCAAAATGTGCGAATTGTACGCGAGTTTCATAACATTCATCAGGTTCTTTTTCTTTTTTCTTTTTCTTTTTTAAAGATCCACTGTCTCTTACAAATAAATGCAAGAGATTAAGGGAGTGGGGAAGTGAATTTGCCATTTTGCATTTTCTCACTTAATCCTAGAATGGGGCCTGGCACACAGTGGGTGATTAATAAATATTGGTTAAATTAAAGGGAGATTCTATATTATCATACCATTTTGTGGGTAAGGAAATAGAAGTCCATTTGGCTTCTCAGTTGGTGGCTAGTAAGTGTGGTAAGCACACCTGAAGCAAGGCCTCTCAGGAATGTATTAACAGTACCTGCTTTCACACAGGTGTTGTAAGGTAAAGTGGTTTAGAGTCATTGGAAACTGGCTGCTCAGGGTGCAAATTAAGTCTGTCCTACCTGTGTGACACTGGGACAAATTAATCATCGTGAAGTGCTGTAGCACCTACCTTTCACTGGGCACATACTTATTATTGAGAGTCTACTGTGCACTTAGCATGTACTCGCATTGTTTTAGGATTATTTTGAGGATTAAATGAGATAAATATATAGGGAGTTTTTATATTGGCTTAATACATATCTGCTATCACTCTTACTGCAACTCCCTTATGTTTTCCTTGGGCGTGGCACCCTGCACTTGGTGGTGTGTATGTGCCAGATTTCTGGTATCTCCAACATTGAGAGCCTGTGGTGGGGTATCTCCTAGAAGCCAAAGCCTTTCTACCCCATTCATCATCTCTCTCTGCTGGTGGTGGGTGAGATGAAATACTGGGTCCTAAGGTAGGAAAGTAGGATAACAGTACAAAGTGGCTTGACATCCTTATGATGCCTCTTTAGAAGAATTCTCAGTTAATTTTTTGAACTTTTCATTAAAAAATAACTATATACCAAAAAAGTGCACATATCATAAATGTACAGGTCAATGAATTTTCTTAAAGAGAATATACCTGTGTAACCAGCCTCCAGATCAAGAAACAAGACCAGCATCCCAGAAACATTACCCTTGTCCTCTGTGCTCTCTTTCAGTCACTTAGGTTACCTTCTGTTCAGACTTCGAATGCCATGGGTTATTTTTACCTATTTTTAAACTTTATGTGAGTGGAATCAATATAGTATGATTTCTTATGGTGTCTGATTTCTTTAGCTCATTGTTATTTTGTGAGATTTTCCCATGTGTACAGTTGTAGTTGGTTTGATTTCATTGCTGTGTAGTGCTCCTATGAACATTTTGGTTCGTGTCTTTTGATGGTATGTATGTTTTTATGTTGGGTATATTGTGTTGGAACTGTTGAATCGTAGGATGTGCATATGTTCAGTTTACTAGATGTTGCCCATGTTTCAAAGTGGTTTTACCAATTTACACGCCTTCCAGCAGTGTATGAGGACTGACTGTTCTGTCCTTACCACACACACTTGGTACTGTCCTAAGGATTTTATTTATTTATTTATTTATTTATTTATTTATTTATTTATTTATTTATTTATTTTTAAAGATTTTATTTATTCATGAGAGAGACACAGAGAGAGGCAGAGACACAGACAGAGGAAGAAGCAGGCTCCCTGTGGAGAGCCCCATGCAGTGCCTTGATCCCAGGATCACTCCCTAAGCCAAAGGCAGATAGATGCTCAACCCCTGAGCCACCTAGGCATCCCTGTCCTAATGATTTTTAAAACCAGATTGTTTTTTCGTTCATTCATTCACCTATTTTGTGCCAAGTCCTAACTGAGGCTCTGGGAATGCAGTTATGAAGAAGATAGACAAGGTTCTAAGATCTCTGCTTTTTGGAAGTTAGCATTCTAATGTAGGACATACAATAAATAAGGAAGTAATATAATGCTTATTGCTTTGATCATAAGGTGATATAATGGAACATGGCCCTGAGGGATAGTATAAGGTGGTGGAAGGGTAAATTTCCATTGAGTATCACTGAAGGCCTGAGAAAGTTCTATTGGGGTTGAGACTTGAGCCATCCCTGAGAAGATATGCAAGAAGAGAGAACAACAATGGTGTAATACGTCTGAGGGCACCAACAACGTTGGTCTATTTGAGGTTTTGGAAAGCAGTCCTAGAACAGAGTGATAGACCAGAGTGAGGCAGGGTTTATGTCCAAATCCGATCTTCTTTCATCCAATATCCCTGCCTGTTCAGCGTAGGGTAAATCACCCACTCTTGTATATATGTGTCCATATTCTGATCTCACTGAATACAGCTCATGATCTTCTAGAAAAAAAATGTTAAATTTTATCTTGGATTGGTTTTTGAAGGAGGATACCTGCTTTAGAAAGCTTAAATATCGTCCAGATTTTAAAGATTTGAGAGCATGGAGTTGATTCTCTTAGGTATACAGGAGTACCTTATAGGTAAGTATGGTCCTGTTTACCAATTTGGGGTTTGAAAAAATGAGATGATTGTTTCAGTGTGGTCAAGTGTCATAGTCAAAGTGACAAATCAAGCCATTTGTCCTACATTAGATTATTCAGGAATTGTAGAAAGTTTTCTGGGATATAACCAGTTTGCTACAAAGTACTCTCAGGGATATTCCAGTTTTTTTTTCTTTCTTTTTTTTTTTTTTTTTTTTTAACAGCAGTGTTTAGTGAGACCTGTAATTGAACTTGGACCTTTTGTTCTCTCGTAGCCTATTTTGCCTGATTGCATTGTGGAAAGGTGAAAAGTTCCAGGTTTACTTCTGATAGTTCGGTGTTAGATCATCCACTAAAAGAAAGGAGTATCTGTCATAAGGTGAGTTAGTGTCCTCGAACACTTGTACTAATTTTTACCAAAAGCTTATTGGATATAATGAATCCAAATTTATTTTTTACTTGAGCACAAATCTTCTACTTGTTTTTACTCATGAATTTTGCTAGCTGTTTGTTCATTTCTGTGATGTACTTAATTAAAATTAGATTAATTTTAATACTACCATGTTGTGAACTGTATGGTACTCTTAATGTTCTTCAAAGTAATCATTTAAGCATCATTTGTAAGCTGTGTATTTACTAATGACTTAGTATATTTTTGTTAATTAGTTTCCTCAAAGTATACTAAAAAAATACCTTTTTTAAAAGCAGAAAATCTTATAGGTCAGAATGTTCCCAAGTAGAAAATTGGACATAATGCTACTGAACTTTAGGACAGAAGCTTGTTTAATCAGGATGTCAGTAAGCTATTAAAAATCTCTTGTTTTGGGGCAGCCCAGGTGGCTCAGCAGTTTAGCGCCGCCTTCCGCCCAGAGCCTGATCCTGGAGACCCGGGATCAAGTCCCACGTCGGACTCCCTGCATGGAGCCTGCTTCTCCCTCTGCCTGTGTCTCTGCCTCTCTCTCTCTCTCTCTCTCTCTCTCTCTCTCTGTCTCTGTCTCTCATGAATAAATAAATAAAATCTTTTTTTAAAAAATTAACTTTTCAACACAGATTGAAATTGTTAATCCGTCTATCAGTAATTTAGAGTAATTCTGTCAGATTAAAGAAAATATTTTTTAACCCTGGTTTTGTCAAATTTTAGCTCCATAAAAACAGCATTTAATTTAGAAGAAAGTTTTATCTTAATTACTTAGACTTAAGATAATAGATTGTCATTATTAGGACTAATGGATTGCAGCTTTCTTTTTCTTTTCTTTTTTTTTAAGATTTTATTTATTTATTCATGAGAGAGGCAGAGACATAGGCAAAGGAAGAAGCAGGCTCCCTATGGAGAGCCTGATGCGGGACTCGATCCTGGGACCCTGGGATCATGACCTGAGCCAAAGGCAGAAACTCAACACTGAGCCACCGAGG